TTCTAGAATCTCGTGACGTGTTACTAGCATCACGTGACTTCCGCTGTCCGTAACACTATCTTTACTAACTTTATACATTCATTGAAAATTGCATTTAAGAATGTATAATCTGCATGAACAACAGGAATCAATGCTTAATTTTCCCATTGTGTAAAAGTATAACTTTCAGACTAAATTTAGGTGAGTCGATAAACAGTCTCTATTGCATGCCAGGCTTAGATCGATGTGTAGGCGTGAGCAATTAGGCTGGTTGGATTTGTGGGAAAATTTTAATGGGAAAGTTAATATCTTTTTAGAATGAATGGTTTACGCTTAAACAAGACAGGGTCTAGTATGTTAGCAAGGGCTACTAACTTAGCTGTAGTGGTAGAGTTAAACTAGGGCTAGACGGAAGTGAGGGCTATGATATTAGTAAAATAGGAAATGTAATGGACAGGAAAACATGTTCAACGGGCATACAACATAAATGTATTTTAAAATTTATGAAAATTTATTACTATTGTCATGCTATAAGTATTAGAAATAAAACTGAGTTCAAAGCAGTTGTGGAAACTGAGTATTTTGATATTATAGGTATCACTGAGACTTGGTTGGATTTAAACAATTTTGATCAGAGAAATTTTTTGGAAATATTAGGCTACAGATTATTTACTAGTTGAGTTAGATTATATTAAAGAAAATAGCACTGATGTTCAGTCAGTTTGGGTTAGTTAGTCGATATAAAGGGAAAAGTATTGTAATTGGGATTTGTTATAGACCATCAGGTCAGAATGTGTAAGTTAATGAGAAACCGTATAATGAGATCAGAATGGTAGCTGAAAAGTTATTATGGGAGATTTGAATTTCAGGGGAACTGATTGGGAAAATTTTGGGTCTCACAGTGAGGGGTATAGATTTTTGGAAATTTTAAGGAGTCTTTTATACACCAACTGGTGATTTAACACACAAGAGAGAAAGTTATATTAAATTTAATATTCGCATCTGGTGTGAATATGATAGACTGAGTTGTGGTTGGTGAGAATTTAAGTACAAGCGATCATTACACTATTAGGTTTGGGATTTTACTACATGTTGAATAGTACCCTGATCCCAAATTTCAGAAAAGCCTATTTTGATGGAATGAGACTTGATCTGGCTTCTGTAGATTGAACTAAAGAGTGGTGAGGGGATCTTGAACAGATGTGGGAAGCATTTAGGGAAAAATTAACATGCATACAGAACATACATATTCCCTACAGAAAAAAGGGGTAATGGAACAGAATAAGCCAGCTGGTTTAGTAAAAGATCATATTAGGGATAAACATAAATTCAAGAAATTTAAACTTACTGGAAATAATAAGGATTTGGAACACTGTAGGAAATCAAGAGAGCTAGTTAAAAGGGAAATTGAAAGGGCAAAAACTGTATATGAAAGAGGGTTGGCTGAAAGAGCTCAATCAAACAACAAATTCTTTAAGTATATGATAGGTAAGCAAAATGATAGTGGGGAGCTGATCTCTGAAATTATGAGATGGTAAACTTATTAAATTATGTTCTCTTCAATTTTTATCAAGGACGATACAAGTATTATGCCTCAACCAGAGTACTTAATATATGGGGAAAAATTTGATGTAAAAGATATCATTTTAATGTCTGAAATTGTAAGAGAAAAGTTGGGAAACCTAATAATTAATAAATCCCCTGGAACAGACAACTTTTATCCTAGAGTTTTAAAGGAACTTAAAGATTTTATTTGATCATTAAGTAGTGGAAGAATATTAGAAGATTGGAAGTTGGCTAATGCTAGTCCAATATTTAAAGGAGGTGATAAACATTGTTCAGTCAATTCTAGGCCAGTTAGTCTTACATCAAGTGTTGGAAAGGTTTTGGAGAGTGTGATTAAAGATGCATTGCAGAGTCACTTAAAGAAGTTTGATATAGTGTCAAAGAGCCAGCATGGTTACACTAAGGGAAAGTCTTGTTTAACAAATCTTCTGACATTCTTTGAGGATGTTACTGCAAGAGTTGATGAAGGAAATACTATAGATTTGGTTTATCTTGATTTTTAGAAAGTGTTGGATAAGGTGCTTCACAAAAGACTTGTTACAAAAATTAAATCTGTTGGTGTGGGAGAAATGTTATGAAATTGGATAGAAAATTGGCTGGAGAGTAGTAATAAACGGAGTTAGATCTGACTGAATCACAGTTACAAGTGGTGTCACTCAGGGGGCTCTGTGCTGGGTCCTCTACTGTTTGTGATTTATATTAATGATATTGACTCTGGAATGACTAACAAAATTTTGAAGTTTGCAGATGACATTAAGAATTTTGGGGTGGCTAATTGTATCATTGATGCTGCAGACTTACAGGGAGATTTAGATCATTTGATGCATTTGGCCAATACGTGGCAGATGATGTTTAAGTATTCAGAATGTAAGGTGATGCATGTAGGTTTTCACAATTCAAATTATTATTATGGTTTAAATGGGAATACATTAAATACTGTGGTTGCAGAAAAAGATCTTGGTTTTGTGATTAAAAAATCACTTATGTCCTCTAAACAGTGTATTGTAGCTAGCAATAGTGCTAATAGGATTTTGGGTAGCATCTATAGAAGTATTGAATACAAGACAAAGAATATTATTGTTTCACTGTATAGATCACTTGTAAGGCCCAATTTAGGGTACTGTGTACTGTTTTCGGCTCCCTTCTTCAAGAAGGACATTGAATTGTTGGAGAAGGTTAGGTTAGGTTAGCCACTAGGATGATACCTGGGATGGTGAGAATGTTCTATGAATCTCTAAACTTATTTCCTCTGGAGAGGAGAAAAGTCAGAGGGGATTTGATTGAAGCTTTTAAGATTATTAAAGGTATTGATAATATAGATCCATAAAACTTTTTTGTAGCAGTGAAACCAATAGACAAGGGGTCATAAGTTCAAATTTTGGCAGCATAGAAGTAGTCTGCAGTTTAGACAGTATTACTTTTCAAACGTGGTGGTTGGTGTGGGAGGTGGAGGCAGAAAATGTAACTGAGTTCAGGAAAAGATTGGACGAATACATGAGTAGTAAGGGGTGGTTAGAGTTGGGAGCTGGAAGGGACATTCTTGTTTGGCTAATAAGCTTCTTTTTGTCCCTTTAAAATTTTATGATGTTCAGTACCTAATTATTCCATTAGTGCATCAACATTTGTACAGAAACACAAAGTATCTTGTATGCTGTAGTGAGAAACAAGAGCCAAGAACTTCCACATGCTGCTGTCATAGAGACAAGACACGAATTAGATCAATTGCATCTTCTTATATGATCAGATGAGGCAGTTTATGTTGAGGAACAGAATTACTAGATGAAGAGGGTTCATTGTTTTCTTTGCAGATTAATCATTCTGTTTGCTGGTGGATGAGGCACTGGAAGACCATCCTCACGAGGTACTGGTTTCATTGGATATGGTACTGGAAGACCATCCCCATGTGGTACTGGTTTCACTGGATGTGACACTGGAAGACCACCCCATGTGGTACTGGTTTCATTGGATGTGACAGTGGAAGACCATACCCATGAGGTACTGGTTTTATTTGATGTGGCAATGGAAGATCATCCCCAAGAGGTACTGGTTTCATTGGATGTGACACTGGAAAACCATACTCATGAGGCACTGGTTTCGTTGGATGTGACGCTGGAAGACCATACTCATGAGGCACTGGTTTCGTTGGATGTGGCACTGGAAGAACATCCACGAGATACTGGTTTCATTGGATGTGACACTGGAAGACCATCCCCACGAGGTACTGATTTCATTGGATGTGACACTGGAAGACCATACTCATGAGGTACTGGTTTCGTTGGATGTGGCACTGGAAGACCATTCCCACAAGGTACTGGTTTCATTGGATGTAACACTGGAAGACCATACTCATGAGGCACTGGTTTCGTTGGATGTGGCACTGGAAGAACATCAACGAGATACTGGTTTCATTGGATGTGGCACTGGAAGGCCATACCCACGAAGTACTGGCTTCTTTAGATGTGGCACTGGAAGGCCATACCCACGAAGTACTGGCTTCTTTGGATGTGGCACTGGAAGGCCATACCCACGAAGTACTGGTTTCGTTGGATGTGGCACTGGAAGGCCATACCCACGAAGTACTGGTTTCATTGGATGTGGCACTGGAAGGCCATACCCACGAAGTACTGGCTTCTTTGGATGTGGCACTGGAAGGCCATACCCATGAGGTACTGGTTTCATTGGATGTGGCACTGGAAGACCATACATATGTGGTACTGGTTTCATTGGATGTGGCACTGGAAGGCCATACCCATGAGGTACTGGTTTCATTGGATGTGGCACAAAAGATATAAAAGAGTTTATGTTAACTAGAGTTGAAAAGATTTTAATTTTAGAATTTGGTTTTATCGCAGGTAGGATGCGAGGAAGAAGATCGGACTTTGTTTTGACTGTACGCGGAGCGAGGCGAAGTGACCAACTAAGTGAGTTAGAGGCGTCTGACTCCGCCCTTTTATGCTCGATCGGTTGAGGGACACCTCGAATGCCCTAGCAAACGGAGCACGTGAGGGCTTCATAATTCCCGGGCGGAGCAGATGAGGGTGGAAGTGAAGCAAAAGTGCTGCATATCACTGCAATTACATCGAGAGCAAATAGTATGTATGAACAATATATTTGGAATTTTACACAAATACAATACAGTCACTGTTTGAAGTTACCAAAAAATGTATGCGTGTAAACCATTAAACTGTCCAAGTAAACTTAATTTCACAACATAAATATATTGTGCTGAGTTAATTGCATGGTATTTCACATAGTGCTGATAAAATATTGAAATATTACAATAACTCAAAATCTAGAGGTGATGGACAAATTACGACTACATTTTTCAAATCAACACCATCAACTTACCCAGAATACTTTGAGTTTTCTCCAGAAGCAAAGTTTTTGCTGTCCAGTGATAATTAAAGAATCTGTGAGTTTTCTTACTTTTTCTTTTACTAATCTAAACACGAAATGATTTATTTTCCTTAGTATTGTTATCATGATTAATTAGTTGGTATTTAGTTACGTTGATTTTAAATATATTTATTACCTTAATATATATACACACACACACGCATACATTTACTGTATCACAATATACATTAAAATACGAATTCGGAGATAAAATTTACATAGTTCTATCTATATTTTTTTAGTTTTAACATTCAGATACTTCCTCCAACTAGTACTAGACGGACCTGTTACTACATTACAATTGACACCGATATTTTAATACTAGATATAAGACGTTATACCTCCACATTTGTTATTTTTCTTTTACTAGACTCTCAACAGTTCGCTTTACAGCTTCTTAGGAGAATTCCACTAAAATACAACCCGTAATTAAGTTAAAGAAGAATAAATTTGGTGTTATAAGGTCGTTTATTTCTAGTATTAATATGTTTTCTATATATCAATATGCACTACAGAAATTAAATAATGAGATTTATAACAATGTTATAATCTACCATCTAACAATACTCTTCGACAACAGTATTTGAGATTGAACACAGAATGGTGGCTTACTCATTATTGGGACATCACTATTTTAACTCTTATAAAGTCGTTAAAACCTTGACATGGCCATTTGAAAATTCTTAACTTCAACTGATACAAATAAGCAAATTATAAAAAAATAAATTAAGTTAAAAACTAATATTTTCTGTATCTACGCGCCAATACCTGTAAAACATCAAGCCAATATATATAGACGAAGAATACAAGGACAGGTAGACGCAACACGTTATAACACAGAGTTGCCACGAATTTTTAGTTTTATTAACCTATACTCTTGAGGCTACTAAGACATCACTACGAAATGATAAATACATTCTACAGCACTTGAATGATACATTGGTAGGTTAATGTGTTAGAAGGGAGTACAGCTTGATAGGGTAACTACACAGCTTGTGAAGACGTCATATATTTTCAGCCCCAACTTGACAGGATTACACGTTTATCTAACGATAGCGCAACTTAGCAATATAAGACGTTGCAAAGCTTGTAAAGATATCATTTTTCGGATGACAACATAGTTGATGCTTGATGAGGGTATTGTTTGTCACTATATCATACTGTACATTCTTTGATAATGGCCTAGCTTGTCACAATATAACAATATTTCTTCTTCAGGTTAACATATCGATTACGTCGTGAAGGACTTACTCATCAGGACATAGTATTTTCCCTCTTATGAAAGACCAGCTTAATACATCTTATTGTTGTCTAATGGTAGTCCAGTTTGTCACGTTGTGTTCTTTAGGAATACAACTTGTCAGGTTAACGTATTGTTGTCTTATGGTGTT